TGTGCTAGTGGATGGATCACTAAGGATAATGGTGAGTGGTGCCACTCCTGTGTCCACTCCTTGATTCCTGAATACTAGTTATGACAGAAACAGCATTGTACTAATCTGGGGGCATATTCAGCTTCCTGGGGAATACAGCTCATTCCAGCAAGGTATTTCCATAAATATGGCACTGTGATTGAGTCTTCAAAAGGACAACATTCTGTCAAGCTAGCTGAAAGATAGTGGGGGATATAACACTAGTGAATTTCATGAGCATGAACCCACTGCTATAAACCATTTGCCACAAAATGTGTTCCCTAACCAGAAGCAATCTGTGTGGAATATCATGTAAGGTATTCTGTAGATCTATGGATGGTAAATTTGCCAGAAGCACTGAAGCACTGTGTGTAGGGAAGACAAATATATATCTAGAGTAATTTTCTATTTAATAAGAAAAAAAGCACTGTTTCTTCCATAATAAAAGCAGCCCATTGTAATCAAACTGCCACTAGGTAGATGGCTGATCACCCCTGGGAATGGTGCCACACTGGAGACTCAGTGTTGGTCTCTGTTGCTGGCAGACTGGGAACTCAGCAGTGGCTATAGCCAAGTTGGCCTTGGTGAATGGAACTACACATTGCTGAGTGCATATATAACTTTCATCCCTGCTGACAAGCCTGCTTTGTTTATGAGTCCATTGTACAAGAACAGGGTGGCTAGGGAAACAGTCTGACTATCAATAACCACAGAACAAATACCGCACTTGATTATTAAAGTTCTCTTACTTTTGCATTCACAGAAGACACAAATATCTTTGTGTTTTTTGCCCAGAGAGGTCTTTCTACATACCTTTCCCAGACCTTCTTGTCACCAATTTTCTAGTCATGTTCCTTCAAATTCCCTGACCATCTAGGTAAGGTATTGGCCATACCCTATGAATAGTGATAGACTTATACTTCTGGCCATTTCTCTGAAATAAATAACAAATTACATTGCTCAAAGATCTGCCCATTGGGAGTATTTCCCTTCACCATTATCCTTCAGAGATTTTGCAAAACAGGAGATGTGATGCTGCAGCTTTCCATTTCTTGCAGTGCCTGCATACCATATAGAACCATCTTAAAATCAGTGTATGTCTTCACTTCCTCTGTCAACTGATCATAGGGAACTCTCCATGAGGCTATAGGCGCACCCTGGCAGAGAGAAAAGAGTGTAGCAGGAATGGGGACAATAGGTATTTGGGTAGCTTCTTCACGTAACTTAAGTTTTTGGGCCTTTCAGGTCCTGTGTGAACCAAATCTCACATTTACCAATTTAATTTAATGGTTAAGTGCTATTGTACGTGTAACCAACTTTATAGCTTGGTAAGTCATGGTTAAGCAATTCTCACTTAGTGGGGAACTTAGTTCTCTATTAAGCAGTCTCTACAAAGGTTCAATAGCAGGCTAAAAGCCATTTTTCAAAAGAAGAGTAATTACCCACAAAAGATGGCAGGTCTTTTCTCCAAAATTCTAAGACTTGTGCTATGATACAACTATAGAGGTCTGTTAAAGGATCTGGATACACTACCACCTGCCACTGACAATTCAGGCATGATGAATCTGCTGGGTCCTATGCAGAGCAGCTTGCACAGCATACTAGAAATGTTCAGTGGAGCCTTCTCTTGTTCTAGGACCTCCTCAAAACTAGCTATTTCCTATTAACTTAGTAAATGGGCCAGAGAAACACATCCAAAATGAGTGATACATTGCCTCAAAATTCAGAGGTCCACTAGGAATTGTGCCTCCCTTTTCATTGTAGAAGCCAGATATAGCAATTTACCAATACAATCATTCACCTAAGAAGGGATTATCTCAACATTTCCTACACAAGTGCATCCCTAGAAACTTCACTGAGGTATAAGATCTTTGGATTTCAGTTGGATTTACTTCCCACCCTCTAACAAACAAATGTGATGGTAAATGTGAATTGTGACTTTTCTAGCTAAAAGCAAACAATTTCTGATGCTCTTTACTACCAGGTATGCAGGTAAGGGCACTTGACAGATCAATAGCTGCATACCAGATATAAGAGGATAATGCCAATTTTCTAAAGCAATGAGACTACAACTGGTATGGCAGTTGCAACCAGAGTCACTATCTGAGAAGGCGTATAGTAACCCATTGTCATTCTCCAAAATTCATCTGTTTTTAGAATAGGCCTAATGGGTGGGGTTAAATTGGGATGTGGTAGAAATCACCACCACTTTACCTTTTAGGTTCTTCATGGTGACACTAATATCTACAACCTTTCTAGGAATACACTATTGTTTTAATTTAAAGTCTTTCCCACTATAATAGTCCTCACTCCATAGGTGAGAGAACAAATACTTGGATTATATATCATGAAATAACCAAAATATGAATTCAAAGTCTTACTGAATCCACTGTGAAATGAACCTAAACTAAAACATCATTGAACACAGATTTCCATAATACCCTATTGTGACTGATAGATCACAATAATGTGTTAGGTCTCCTGGAATTAGTGTCAGTTCAGTAGTCTCCAAAAGGTCTAATAATTTGTGTTTTCCCAATGCACAGTCACCTTAGTAAAAGGTTATATGTCCCTTTCAGAGGTTGGAAGAAAGGTTAACAGTATAATTTTGATAATTTTGATAACATACTGGCATCTCTCCTTACAGACCTATCCTGACCTCCCATTCATTAAATTAGTCCTGGCTCAAGTCTGGGAAATGATTAAGGGTCTGCAATTCTGTCTGGAATCCAATTATACCCACTGTATTTAGGTTTCCCAATGCAGTGGCATCAATTTCTACTGTAATTTCTGATCCACAGAGAAGAGCAATAGCAGAATTTGCCTTACAAATACATTTCTCACAGTGATGAGAAAGCTATGTCCTCTAGGCCCTCCTACAGTAGGAGAAACATGTCTTCCATGATAAATCCACTCTAACATTCCTATCTCTCTGAGCCTTTGGACACCTTCCTCCATATTATATTAAGGATGTACTGGTATTTAGAACTCAATTA